ACCGGGGCGGGATGGAGATGAAATGACAGGAGCAGTTGTAGGAAGGGGGTTGTGTAGTCGGAGGCCAGAGGCGTTGTTAGGATCTTGACACACTGGGGGCTCAGCACAGCCCAGAAATATTCAGATCTTAACCTGATAATTGCACCATATCCAAGTTATTTCAGAGAAACATGCAATAACAATTTTTCTACACATACAAAAATCTGTGCAATATCAGTATTTTTCTACTTGCAGACAAATCTCTGCTAAATAGATACAAATCTGTCCAATATAAATAGTTATTTAGCAGTAGTTTTACTTATGAAGGATGCAGTGCAATATTGTTATGCCCACATCCTGAGGAATTTCAGATCTTGTCCTAAACATTGCACCATTTTCATGTTATTTCACTGTAACATGAAACATAATTGTTTCTACAGCTACAAGAATCAGTAAACCATCAGTGCTTTTCTGCTTACGGACAAATCTGTGCAATATAAATACTTCTCTATCAGTACTTTTACTTATGAAAGATTCTGTGCAATATTGTTATTCCCACATCCAGAGGAATTTCAGATCTTAACCTGATATTTGCACCATTTTCCAGTTATTTCAGAGTAACATGCAATGACCATTTTTTCAGCACATAAAGTGATCTGTGCAATATCAGTATTTTTCTACTTATGAACTAATCTGAGCAATATAGTGCATTTCTGCGCAATTTGGACAATCTGAACTGGCACGTATGGGTATTTTTTGTTTATTTCTATTTTTCTACTGCTATTTCTTAAATGTTCGTACTATCCCCTGCTGCTTTATCAATGCAAATTTCCCTGCTATGGGATTAATAAAGGGTTATCGTATAAAAAGTGTGAGATAGTGTGCTCTAGGCAAAGTGAGGCCATCCCGCTTTCTTTTCTATTCTCTGAAGCATGTTTTGCATAGGGCTGAACAGTCGATTACAAATGCAATGCACTTTGAAACAATGCAATATCAAATCACCAAGGCTGCAGCTTAGAACTCCTTCATTTTCATTGCAGTGTACAATGAAATTAGGCAACAGTAGTGTCAGGGCATTTACACACTCAGAAAACAGGTTTTATTTAGGGTACAATAAGAACTGTGCAAATATGAACTGTAGTTCTATCAAATTTAGTAAAAATAGTATGTACATGTGTAATATATGAAAACAGTCAAAGTTATTGTATAGGATATTTGGTATGCAGCATGTCTGACCCACAGTTTGAACAGCTGTGTCATAAACAAACAACAGTTGTTGGTTTTTTTTTAATACAGGAAAAATGTTCAAATGTACAATATAAAAATATAGTAAAACAATAGTATGTACTACACCCTAGGTATTGTACAGGATACGTTGTATGTTGCACGCCTGACTCACACTTTAAATGGTTGCATAAATACTTTATGCTCTCTCATAGCCACACCAGTCTCACCTCACTATCATTGTGCCACAGGGGGAAAAATACTCCGGCTTGTTTGTATTTCCTAGCTTTAATAAACAGCTGTAGGATGCAAGTATAAGTCACAGATCATTTCAGTCAGCTTTCCTTATCTGTGTGTTACAACTGCAACCTCTGAGCAGCAACCCACCACAAAGAAATTTTTAAATTTTTGCCAATTGTTTTGATAGTGCAGCAAGGCAGCCATGCTTGTTTTTGTTTTGTTTTGTTTTGCAGTGAATTATCCATTTTAATTACAGTGCTTGTCTGTCTTGTTTTGGTGCAACATTCGCACGCAGGGAGGCAAGCACTGTCATTACAATGGCAAATTCACCAAAAACAAAATTCATGCTTTCCACGTCCATGTGTCCACAGCATCCACAAGGGTACAGCGGACATAAATTCTATCAGCCACCAAATGTGCAAGGGTCTGCATGGGCCTCTCTGAAAACATCCTTGTGCAACCCAAAATTTGTGACCACATGCACGTCAGCAAGCTGCCGACAGCACATACACCAAGAAACAAAACAAGCAGTCGTATGAACAGAACCGTGTGCACGTGTACTGTCTGCTTTCAAAGTCCTCATCGGTCTGCGCACATAGACGTGGGAAGCATGGAAAGCGCAGCCAGTGGCAGGCGTATACCCACAGTCCACATCCAGTGAGTCAGATTATGCTGTAAATGGTACATCAAGGTGATGTTCCATCAAATGCTTTAAAAGTGTTACTGAGCAGGACTTTAAAAATTATGTCGGAAATCAAATTACGATGTCTGTCAGAAAAATCCCTCTAAGATATTTTCCCCAAATCGTTCAGCCATAGCTTCTCATTAATATCCCAGTGAGTGCAGAAGAGCTACACCGTTGATCCTCTAACTATGTGCCTTGGAAATTGAATTATTTATGATGAAATACACAGCTATAATCACATATAAAGGTTTACCTAGTGACAGAAACATTTGAGAACCACTGGCTGGACCAGAGTTGCCTCCATTAGCTACCAGCTGAAGTGAGATTAGTGTAATACCCCAAATAAATAACTAATAATCACACTAAATCTGCTGTAATTGTTGCCGATTTAAAAAAAAAAATACTAAAAACTCTGTCCATGTTGACGACTTACCTAACAGTCCTCCTCCTGCCTCACCTGTGCCTCATTGCCTTGATCCTCTCTGTTTCTGAAAAAGCCTCTTATATCCCCAGTCGTCCATTCTTGCCGTAGTGAATAAGCTAGCCAGCTGCCAACAATGAAAAGCACCGTACCCACTGTGTTCTCTTTCACGCTTACACAAAATGCTCTAGTGCCAAGTAAAGTCGATATGCTGCTTGAATGACACATAAAGGACCCAAAACGTAGGCTACTTGGGTTTTTAATCAATGGTGTCGTCTTATGGTGGAGGGTTTTAATGCATCATCAGAATGACAGGTGAATAGATCCGGTGCAACAATAGATTTTTCATATTTATTTATTTTTTTTTATTTTGAGATCTAGAGTTCTTCACAAGCATTCAAGGCCACAGCCATGGACACCCAGACCTAACAACATCTCTGTTGGAGGCTACGAGGACAGGTTTTGTCATACAATAGTTTGAGCAAATTAACTTTAAAGGCATCCTGTCAAAATCGTAACAAAGAAAGTTAGAAACACATTCTGACGAGTAAGACTTCCGTTACTTTTGCCATTTAGCACTTGGGCTGCATGATGTTGGAAAAAAGGGACATTGTGGTATTTTTTTTCTAAGGTATATATTCATACATCTCTTATGTAGTTAACCACTAGCAAAGGCTTCCGAAACAGTTTTTCGTTCTGGATGGAAGTCAGATCTGGCATTGCACTCGTCATACGGAGTCCTGTCTTGCTAATATAAGTGTTTAAACAGATTAGCTGTGACAACTTGTGTTCGGTCATCTTCACCCTTTCTGTAGTTGAAATATTTCCATGCAACTGACACTGCACTTCCTTCTGAAACTAGATCTTTCTTCTCTGTTTCTTTCCTGTTTCTTGCTGTGTTCATGTGGTGCCTGCATGTCACCAAACTGTTAAATAGTACAACAAAAAAACCCTCAATGTTTCCAGGAACAATTAAATCAGTAAATTGTATTCCAACCCAAGCAGCAAAACAAGTTGTAACATGATGTGTTTCAGTTAATTTGCCTTATTTCACATTGTGCAATGTGCCTTTTGTGCATGCACACATCATGATATCAACCCTAACATGATGTATTGTGCAGCCCTAATAGGTACGATCTAGTTTTAGTCTTTCATTATATCCACAGTAGTTAAGCCAAGATTTCATAATTCCACCTGCGATAACTTATAAGTTAAATAGAATTCACAATTTAAGAAATTAGAATTTGTTTTTTGGGGTACATTAATCGAGGGCTAAAAAATGAATCACAATATTGTCGAAATATGGAGTGTAGAGTATGCGTGTGTCACAACATAGCAGCATTGTGATGCCATGGAGAGCCTGTAAACTATATCCTTCAGATTTAAGGGAGTGTGTTTATATGGTACAGAACACAGCAGAAACAAAAGAAATTCCCATTTTTTAAATTTTAGGTGCAAAACAAACAGAAATCGCCTGTCATTCAGCCCCATTTAGAACTAAAATATTCAGTCAAAAACAATAAACTGCACAACGCACATCAACAACATGAATTTAGTTGAACTCACATGTGATAAAAGTTGTAGATTTTTCCTGATAGAGGTATTATTTCACTTACTTTGTGTGTGTTTTCATTAACAGATTTCTCAAAAGGGGGACTAACAAGTTGGGAACAATTTCAAATCTCACACTTGCTCAAAATGAAAAGAATTCAAGAAAATGTATTTGAACACATCTTGCATGATCAATACAATCTGCAGTGTTGTTACTGCAGATATGTTGGGTCATCGTTATGACTGGTCACACGTTTACTGATTTCAAAATGCATTAGTCCGTATGGAGGGTATGATTCACAGTCAAGTAAAACCCTTTATAAGCCTGCTGGAGAAGGCTGTTACTTAAGTGCCACTGACAATGGAAACTGTGACATAACAGCCCTTTCTTCCACAACACAGCATCATGTGATAAAGTTAGGTGATACATACGTATTTTTAGATTATTTTTTTTTTGCAGCAGCATTTTGTCTTCATTAGAAAGGAGCTGCATGCAGGCAGGACCAAACCACAGAGTCGTGGTGTGAACACTAACCACTCAGCTGTCAGGTTGCTCCAAGCTAGGTGATGTTTAACTATATTTAAAATAAAACACCAAAAGTTACTGTGTTTGTGGTGCAGTCATTAATCATTAATTTTGGACACTATAAATAGAAAATTCAGAAACTAGCATCGTACAGCTACAATGCTGTAAATCTCTAAAACCAAAAAATGACACAGTGTCACAATAATAATCAAAATACACCTTTAAGATACCCAGTTTTATGCCTGTTTAGTATCGACACAACAGCATCTGTCGAGTGTGACTGACTCACAGGGCAAATTATAAAGTAGATTCAATCTATTTGCCATTATCTTCTCCTTGTTGGAGTAAATGTAAATGACACACTGACACCTGGACAACAGGTACATGAACAATTTATTTACACAATGTGTTCGAGTTCAACATTATAGCTTCAGTGGCCTAAAAATGCCTACAGGTCCGATCTTACACCAAATCCTGGTCCTGGAGGAGGCTCTGTCAGAGAAGTCAATCCACCTGCAGGCTCACAGGAGAAACGGCCGTTCCTATAAAACAAAAATAAAATTTAAAAAACAAACACATCTTCACTTTGAAGTTTTGAAAATTGTATGTACGAATGTATTATATGCATTTTGCATGTACCTGGGTCCTGGTGGTGGGATTTTGCCTGCTTTAAGTTCATCGATAATATCCTCAATGTCCTTAGGTGTAAGGTCCTCCTAACAACAGAAAAAGCAGCAATAAGAAGAGCACCGTGATTGACTTAGACATCCTTCAATCTGTATAAAGACCTTTTAACCCTAATAAATTCTAAAGAAAAGGAAATTTAGGTGGAGCTACTTTTGTAATAAAGGAGCTTGTGATGATCATAACTCATTCTGTCTCCTCAGATTGGCACTGCCAGTCCAAATTCTATTTTAAATTCAATGAAGTTCTGTCAATTATATTTTAATACTACGCTACATTCAAAAGATAATAAAGTATGTTTTTAATTGTCAGCTCAGTTCAAAACTGTTTCCAAAATCTAATCAGGGCTAAAAAGGTTAAAACTGTGTCAAATGACAGACCTTTCATTTGTTTTTACTGCGGACAACCAAAGCAAAGCTAGTCTGCCTCACAGAAATACCTGAAACAACATTTTTTTAAACAATCAAACTTGTGACAGTGTTTTAAACTCCTAATTACAACATAACATAACATACATAACACATAACATTTGTTACAAAACAGGTTGCGTTCTTGCATTCTTTTGCATCTCATTGTGTTAATGCGCATGAGGACGGCCAGGCGTATCTGTGCAGCTGTACTAATGCTTCTCCAAAGCATCTATTCTCAGACTTACAAGCCTCTAACAACTTTGCTTGTTCAGGGACTGGCATTCACGGTTTTATTTATAAACTGGACCATCTACAGTAAGACTAAATACATACAACTGATGACTGAATGAATATAATATACAAGAACTGTGTGCATTTCTGAATGCTAAATATTCACATGAAACGCGAAACTAAGTACTGCCTTACTTCCGGTGTTGACACATCGTACCTTTTCTCACTCTAGTGATCACACCTCAGCAGTTTGAGGTGTTACAGAACATTCCTCCTTTCGGAGTCGTATTTCCTTTAATTAGGTCACTCACGTGTGCTCAGCTGGCAATAACTGAATTTCCCATGGTATTTGAGTGCAGAATTAGTTTCATATAACGCCTAACTAAAAATCCAAAAAGAAAACTTTTCATATCACGTCTGGCTCGTGAAGGTAATCTTTTTCCGAACATGCTTTCACGCACGACAAAGCATTCGTTATCCATCCTTATTATTATTAATTTAAGATTGATTATTTTTCTGCCGTGCTCTCCGTCTCGCCCCTGTTCATATCTTTGGAGCTTTGCATGTGCAGACTGTGCCACACCTGCACTGGCTTCCAAAGGGGAAAAAAAAGGTAACACGCTAGAAATAGAGATGAGAGACGTATTCTCTGCAGACATTCTTCGCAAAACTCATTTCAGTGTTTAACCTAATTTTGTTAATTTAGTTACAATGTTCAGTAAGAACGCCATCTGCACGGAGTTGTCAAGCACTCACATAATAGTTGTCATTGATCTGGACCATTGGAGCGTTCACGCAGGCGCCCAGGCATTCCACTTCTATTAGCGTGAACATCTTGTCAGGAGTAGTCTCTCCAACCTTGATACCTGTGGAGAAACAAATGAAGAAATGCTTTAAAATCGGCTAATCTCTGCCATCTACAGATTGTGTTTCTGAAACAACAAATGCAGCTGTAACACTATATGTGCGCTGCAACAAAAAGTAAAACCTCCCTAAATGGCTCATTGAAAGAACAAACAAACGAGTGTGCTCTGCTAAATGTCACACGGACCGAGGTATGTTGGCAGTTTTCTGGCTTCATTTCAGTCTTGTATGTCTTCTTGTTTACTGCTACAGCTTGCTGTTGTTTAAATACCACTGACAACTGTATATTTACATATTTGTTCCCGATCTCTGTTTATCCCAAACACACACAATAAAAAAAAAAAAAAAAAAAGTTTATTTGCATCTGCGTTTTTGTGTCTTCATTGGTTTCTCAGCATAAAATGGAAAATTACTCTCACCCAGTTTGTTTTGGATGGCCTCCAGGATGCTGTCTGAGTTGCAGAGCATGCAGGGTGTTGTTGTGCAGATCTGAATGAAGTACTTTCCCACAGGCTGACGCAGGAACATCGTATAGAATGTCGCTACTTCGTACACTCTCATTGGAGCAACTTCCAGCACCTCAGCAACCTGAATCAAAATAATTACAAACATTTAGGGGTTCCCGAACATAATGCAAGCAACATGCCACCATATAAGCATTCACAAACTTGTGCTCCGACTGATTTTAGTTGGGACTGCTGCTGGAAAACCAAACAGTAGAAAAAACCCCGTGCCTTGTTCATGGCGGAGATGGGGAGCCATCCATGTTGCCTCTGGGCTAAATCCAATACTGGGATGGTTGCTGCTTGCTTGTGTCCTTCGGGGTACATTGAAATGATCGCATCAATCCTCTACAGAGAGAGAGAGAGAGAGAGGAAAAAAATATATTTACCCTGACTGCAGACTTAATCAGGATCAAAATCAGCATTTCTCTAATGTACGTTAACAAATACAGAAACTGAAACAATGTTTATTTACCTGCTCAAACATTTATAAGAAATTATTTAATTCTATAATTTGGGTTGAAATTAGTTTGAATGTGGGCTTTTTTATTTATTTATGTTTTTAAATCTTTGGTGAAATGATGGTCTTACAGTGTTATACAACTGTCTAATTGGTACCAAAATACAACTATAATCTTAACACAGTTACCTTAACAGATGCATGTTTGAAGGTATTTAAGATTACTTCCTGAAGATTAACACTAAAACATATATTAAAATTCTCCTATAAATGTTGAGAAATATTAGATATTACTACTGGCTTCAAATCCAAATAACTGCATCACATTCCCCACAGATTCCAGCCTTACCTTCTTGTTCTCCTCAGTGAACTCAAAAGGAATATCGGGGTTGTTGTCAGGAGTATCTCTGTGCTAAAATTGCAGAAATAGAATCATGTTAAATGACAGTTAACATTCTTAACTCTAAATATATAACTGCTCCTAATAATCTGTGAATTAAAGCTGCTATTAAGGGTGAATTTTTATTCAGCGACTACCATTTTTTATGTTGGTGTAACAGGTTTGTGAGCAGTTAACAGTATCTTATAAAATATTAACATTCCTTGCCTAGAGGGGAAACAGGTGCTACTATCAGACCATAGAAATGACTCAACACAGATAACAATTATTTCTGCTTCTGCACACACTGCCCCCTTGTGAGCAGCAAATATCCTTGTGCAATTAAGACAAAGATTTAATTTAATGTTGTTTGGAGTTAAACATGTACAAAAAACGACATTCTTGACTGAAGAACAGTGCCATATCAGGTCACCTTCACCATCAAGGGATTATGAAACCATGGCATGTTTCCATTGCATGACAATGTCCCATGTGATCCTTGTGTGTGGCTCTTAAGGCAGCTCCCTGGGTAAATTTGGAGCTTTTGGAAAATAGACACCTTTGAGGTTTGACCAGCAAGATCATGTTGCAGAGTTATGTACTGGTCAACTTTTCCCATTGCTTGAACATAATTACAGCTATGACAGCTGAACTGATACAAGGTCAGTAATAATGAACCTCAGCAGTGATACAGATTTAGACAATATTTTATAATTATTCGGAATGATTTGAGCATCACAAAATGATTAGAAATACAGTAAAGTAGCTTACAAGTTGCTCCATAAGCTGCTCATCCACTGTTACGCACTATAAATCTATAAAGTGTGACGTGTACAAGAAACAATGAAGCCTGACTGTAAAGCATCAACCTTTTTTTTTTCTGGCATCCGCTGTTCATAAAAATAAGATACAAAATCTTCAACTCACAATAATACCATCAAACTGGGTTCTACATCTGAACATTGTCCATCCACTATCTATACATCACTTAATCCTCACTAGGGTCATGGGGGGCTGGAGTCTATCCCAGCTGACTCAGGGTGAAGGCAGGGGACACCCTGGACAGGTCACCAGTCTATCACAGGGCTACACTTAGAGACAGACAACCAGGCACACTCATATTCACACCTACGGACAATTTAGAATCACCAATTAACCTCAACATGTTTTTGGACTGTGTGGGAGGAAGCCGGAGAACCCAGAGAGAACCCACGCTGCACAAAGAGAACATGCAAACTCCACACAGAAAGATCCCAGGTGTCCTCAACAGGACACAAACCAGCGACCTTCTTGCTGCGAGACAACGATGCTAACCACCGAGCCACCTTGCAGCCCTTAACATTGTAAATAAAATAAAAGAGAGACTAGGACAGCACTCCTAGTTGGTGTCTTCTGCACATTTCATGTCTTATGGAAGAGAAACAGCAACTCACCACAAAGATGCCACCAGCTCCAGCGCGGGCAGCAGACCGATGCAGACTCCTGACCTGCCTGGCCTGCAACACAGAAGACAACAACTAAAATACCTGGTGATGTGCTCAGAGTAAACAGATTACAGTGTTGAGCTGAATTCTCTATTCTAAATAGAGAACACACATGAATTCAAAAAGTTTTCATACACTGCAAACTTTGCAGAATTGGTGATTTTGCATGACTTCAAATAAGAAATGACCTGAAAGAACTGATAAACGGAAAAGTCAAAAAACAAATAAATAAAAATTAGTGACGTTGCCATTGTCCACCATCAGTGACGCGGTGTTACCTCCTTAAAGATACATAATTAGGTATAACGCTTGTAGCTCGATTAACTAAGAATAATCAACACCCTAAACAAGTTTTGATTGCAAATCACAATACATGCAATTGCCAAGTAACTTAAACAACATGAAAAGTAACTGTTAAACTGTAAGAAGCTTAATCTGTGCCATTTAATCTGTCACTTATTTTCTCAATTCATCCATCAGTTGTTAGGTCTATAGAAAAAGAAGGAGAAGGACCAATCAGTGTTTCCCAAGTCCTAAGATGAGGTCCTCAAAAATGCTGTTTAGTCCACAACCCAAAGATAATCAGTTTGCTGTCATAGAAGGGTTAAGACAATAGAAACTGTTTTAATTTAAGAAGAAAAATTTGGACGTTTATTCAACAAGCCAAACAGCTGGCGATTCCTTTAATAGTTGGCATCTAATCGATTAATCACTGCATATTGTTGTTTATCTGCAAGAAGCTTAGACTATCACAACATGGGATCCTCATATATTGTAAATACAGCTTTACTGTTATATGCGGAATAATATACCATAAGATCACACAAATTTATTTGCTGTCAAACGGTTGTCAATGAACAATGCATTGTTGATGCACTGACTTACATTTAAATATATATATATATTATTTCAGGGTCTTCACCTTAATCATTATACTTGTAAAGGTAAATTCTTATTTCTCTACTTGAAAGCCCTTTGGCTCAATGGCTGACATTTTAATGTGCTATATAAATAACCATGATATGACTTGATAATTACTGTATTACTGCTTTAAGCATTTTGTATTCATTAATATTGACATTTTGCATCTGTAATCATTTAGTTTTAACCTTGTCCTAACTGTTGTTGTGCTGCCTTCTGAGTCCCTGCTTTTGCCTTGTCTGTCAAAGCACTTAGTTAGCCCCTGTTTTATAGTGTGCTTTATAAATACTGGTTTTATTAGAGTTATTAAAATTTTATATGGCTTTCATTAATGGAAGGCCTAAAAATCACATAAGGCTGTTTTTTAAAGTCCCTTCCTCAATGTTATACTTCAGTTTTATTAAAATACCAAACAGTCAAACAGTATGGGAATAATGCTTTCATGTTAAATTCAATAGTGGCAGGACTTTGCCTTATTATTTAGCTACAATATCAACAGACAGTTATCACACAAAATCCTCTGAGCTACGTGTTGAAACCTCGAACTCACACGTTCAATCATCCTAACACTAAAAGCAAGTGCAACTGTTGTATGAACAGGTACAATAAGTCAATTCTAGTGTGTAAACGCTGCATTGATATTGTTTTCCTGCGATCACCTTGTGGACGTTTGACAGCAGGAAGCTAACTTAGCTAGCATGCTAGTGTTACCCAACGTCAGCTAGCTTAGCGGCCTCCACTTTATGCCCTTGTGAAGAGTCACAACATTTTATCTCCAAACTATCGAAAATAGCATTTAAAGTCTTGCCCAGAACCGTAGGAAATAGCACAACCATACCGCCTGCGACGCAGCAGAGCGAACAGCCGCAGCCAAAAACATCTTTGGGGCTTGAAGTTTGGTCCCGGTGCGTTAGCTAGCAGACGGGACAGCAGCAGCCGACATCAACACAGGCGCGCTCACGTTCGATTAACACGGTCTTGACGCACGACGCAACGTACGTCAGTCGCTGCGCCACTGAATCGATCCCAGATATGAATTTGAGCTCAAAAACAACAGATGATCTGATGCACAGCCATTTGGACGTTTCCACTGAGCTGTGTTATATAACCTGATGGGTACATCACGGGGAATGTTTCCCAGGGTTTTTTTGAGACAAATATTCCAAATTTAAAAAACAAAGAAAAGTACTTCTAAGTAAAGCATGGCTGAAACCCAAACTGTAAGAGATGAAGACAAAATAATTAACATAACAACAAGGGTCAAACAGCAATCAGAATATACAGTAAACATACTGTATATTCACTGGACATTTAAAATTTACAAAGAACAACACAGGTTAATTTATGAATTAGGGCTGCAAGGCGGCGCAGTTGGTTCGCACTGTTGCCTCGCAGCAAGAAGGTCGCCGGTTCGCGTCCCCAGTTAGGACACCTGGAATCTTTCTGCGTGGAGTTTGCATGTTCTCCCCGTGCAGCGTGGGTTCTCTCCGGGTTCTCTGGCTTCCTCTCACAAGTCCAAAAACATGTTGAGGTTAATTGGTGATTCTAAATTGTCCGTAGGTGTGAATGTGAGTGTAGGCTCCAGCCCTCCTATTTCTTTTTCTTTAGTTACTAGATTATCATTGGTTTTAGCACCATTTTTGCCATTAAAATTAAATCCTGTCATGTATTTTTTAATGGTGAAATGCAAAATGCAGCTTTGACTAAACAATGTGGGGTAGTCTGACATAAATATAGTTTGTGCATGGCTAATTAAGCTTTACACAGAATCACACCAATAAATTTGCTTCCCTAACATTTACACATTTCAGGGGTAGGCACCAAATACAAATTGTGCATGAGCAACAGTCAGATATATTCCTGATACATTTATTTACATCTTTATGTGGCCCTCATCAATAGAAATACTATAAAGCCATAAGACTTGCATCACAGCTTTGACTAAATAACTAATTATGATGTGATTGCAACATAATGTTGGCAGAGCCGGAGAGCAATGGTTTATGCAAGGGTTATACAGTGTTCTTGCCTTGAAAATCAAAGATGATGCAAGTGGAATAAATAAAAACAATTATGTCTGAAATTATATGTAAATAAAGTTAAGGAACTGCAGTCTTTTGTAGTAAAAATGCCTTAAAGATCAGGGACTTTGCTTGTTCTCAGTGAACAAATGTTATTTCCTGTCTGTTATTTCTTTGTTTTATCTGAGAGCACCCATCACCCTCCCTGTCAAATCAAACCTCTCTCTGCCTGCCTGAATCCCAGCATTCATCCTGCAGCACATCTCCTCCTCCTCCTCCTCCCCCTTCGCTTAGAAACATAATGTGATCAGCAGGCCAGGGAAGGCGCATCCAATGAAAAAGTGGGAGTGCCGCACCCTGTAACCCGATTGGCTGCCCTGACACTAAGCAGACTGAGCAGAGCCTGCAGATCAGGGATTAGGGGTGGGTCTCTACGCATGCTGAATTGTGTTGCTTCAGTACAGGAGGCCTTGTAGTGCTTTTACCTCAGCCAGGAGGATCCAGACAGATCAGCAGTGACTCCAGATTAACCCATTTCCTGACTCACCCTCTGATGATATAGGCCTGCCTGCGTCTGTCCTTCCACCATGGTTGTCCCTGAATCTCAGGACAAAATGTTCTACCCTCCTGGTGACCTGCAGAGGGATGCTCATGTGCCTGATTTTAACTCCTATCTGGCATTATACAGGAAGTCTCTCGAGAATCCAGAAGGTAGGTCAAACATGTCTGTATTTTTAGTGCAGCGCTTGCAGTGTTTCCTTGCAATTCGCCTCTCTCTGAGCCCCCAGTGTCTCTCTGCTCTAATCTGTCCCTATTTGCAGCCTGACTGAAAGTATCACTTTGTTTTTTTTTAGCTTTCTGGAAGGAGATTGCTGATGAGTTCTTTTGGAAGAAGCCGGCGACGGGAGCGATGCTGCAGTACAACTTTGACGTGACAAAAGGGAGCATATATGTCAAATGCATGGAAGGGGCCAAAACCAACATGTGCTATAATGTCTTGGACAGGCATGTGAAGGAGGGCAACCTCGGTGAAAAGGTTGCCTATTACTGGTAAGCAACAACATGCCCCCCCCAAGAGTGAATGATGGCTTTGATGGGAAATACTGCCCGGAGTTATGTCAGGTATTCCAGTCAATAACAACTGCTGTGTCCCCTGTGCCAACACCAGTGCCCCAAAACAAACTTCTGTCAGTGCAGCACACTGTCAGCGCTTCAACATTCCCGCTCAGACTAAGAAGAGAACATTTATTACTGAAATTTTCCCACATTTCATTTGCATCAAACACATTTCGAATGCATTTTGTTGTAATAAAATATGCATTCTTCCAGTAAGAAAATCCTCAGGTATTTGTTTACAGAAATAGACTATATCTAATTGCTAGATTTTGCAACCTTTTCATGTGATAGAACACCCTGGACAACTCACCATAAAGGCTGTACTTTAGGTTGCTTTGACGTTATATAGCATATATTTGCCCTGTCAACTGAAGACGCTTAGCAAACAAGAAATAGTGGCCGTGCAAGCTCAGCAGTATAGGGGTTCAATGGAACTGGGCACGATGGAAATCACTCAGGTGTCTTCGTATTGTTTGCACGACATCAAAAGCACTTATGCAATGTGTCTGCTCGAGTGTTTGTGCATCCTCCTCATATGGTGACCTCGAACCGCCTGTCAGCTGTGTCGATGTGCAAATTATCGACGGCCACATGGTTTGTTTTCACCTCCAGTTAAACGCTTATATGACTTTCGCCCACGCCTCGTCCAAACATCGTTTGCAAAACTGTATCAAGAAATAGGACACTGCAAAAAAAAAAAAAAAAAAAAAGATTGCAAAAAGTCATTCAGAATCAGATGTGTGCCCTTTCGTTTGACTTTACTTGTCACTCCATTGATTATTTTTGGCCACAGGCTAAAACCAAGAGATTAGTAGATGTTTGCAGTTAAATGAAAACGTCAAAATTGCCACCCATAAATAGAGATGTGAGTATTCAACGCCAAGAGGTTTCATGAAGAAATCAATTGCTCAAAGTTGAAGCAGTTTGACTCATTTAACAAATCAAACCAACACTTTAAAGCTATTGATGTAAAAGTAATCTTTCCTGCAGCGTTTGTCGACAAAAAAAAGAAGAAAGAAGCACGCCGGACTGCCCTTTCTTTAAATTGTTTTATCGTGGCAGATGTTGATAATTATCGGGTTTATTATACAAGATGTTTCGTGTTGCAACATTTTTTCTTAAGCCTGGAATGTGAAAATAACAAATGGTTTCAATTTCAAATGTGCTCAGTGATGTGTTTTCTGTGTGAGTGGCAGAGTGAGTAAAACAAAAGGAGAAGCTTCATTCATCAAGGCTGGAAAAAAAAAAATTAGGTTTTAGGACAGAAAAAGAAAACTTTATTAGCCGCTTCAAAGTGCCCCCTTTGCATCGTTGAATATGACAGAAACATTATGAGTTTGCATTATTTGCATTGCCTGTAAGCATCATACATTATGTGATTTTACTTTTTCTCACAGCAGAGCTTCTCTGTTTGTGCAGACCAATGAATCAATGCATGAAACAGTACAATGAGATTCAAACAGCAGAAAAGTCCAGTAAATGAAAGAGTATAAAAAGAGAGAGGCTGAATGTTTGATAGTACAAAGTCTAGAAAACATTATATTTTGAGCTTTGATCCGTTGTTAGCTGCTATAAAACGTGGCGTCAGTCTGAGATATTCTGGAATTTGTTTAAAATATCTGCAGCCCAGCAGCTAAAAGCAGCTTGGCCATGTTTGGATTTTATGGCTGGTGACCACAGAGCTTTAGTGGGCTGATAGTGGAGAAGAAGTATTTTGGTCCTAAACTGTTTTATAAGTGATTTATAAATGTGAGGGGGAAAAAAAGTATTTTCAACCCAATTCTGTGACAGACAGTGAGAGGCTGAGAACTGGAGTAATGAGCTCAGCTTCTTCACTGGGACTTAAGCAGCACAGCTGTGAACGAGCATCAGCTGTCAAAAAGCTTTTTAAGAAGGATCTGAGAAAATCTTATTACAGGCGTGGATTAGATCGACTAAATCTTGTGTTTTTGTGAATTCCCTCTCTGATGTATCAGTTTGTTATCTAAATGATCTCCTCAGTTTGTTCAGTGCACTTTTTCAGTGGCTCTATGGATCTTTGAGTGTCAGCAGGAAAATAAAATGACAGCAAATGTTGTTATTCCATAAGTTAAACTACAAGAATGGAAAAAATGAAAGTAAAGAAGTCCAAAGTTCACCTCCACGTGTGTTTTTGGTTTGTTCAGACACACAGTTCCCAAAAGAGTCCAAGAAGAGTGTAACGTTCCTAAAAACAAATATGTGCACCGTTCCTCCTAGAACAGACAGTTTTTATCACACCGTCAATGCTCTTCAGGTCATTTTATCTACAGCTGTTACACTTGTGATTGCTGAGTTTCAACACTATAATCACTTATTTCACCATTCCCAGCCCCGCGATAAGGTTCGTGCCAGCTTGTTGCAGAGTTTTGGCTTCTGTCCCACAACGGAGGCGAGCCACCGCACTGTCTGCTGGCCTGTGAATCACTGTGCCAGAGTTTTCCAAAAAACTGCCCTGTCAAGCATTCAACCCGAATATAGACACAGCAGCGACGGGAACAGGTTATCTCCCCTGTGAGCGCTCAGAACCCACAGCTTCATGCTGTCTGAGATGGGACTTTTGGAGGAAGCAGGTTATCTTGTGAATTTCTCCACTGCGAGATAAATAAAGGCATATCTTATCTGGAGGGATGACAGTATTGAAAAAAAAAAAGTCAAACTCCTGATTAGAGCTGTACAATTGACACATACACACACAGACCTACATTGAATCTGAGTCAGGTTTTGTTTTGCACCAATAGATCTGAGAGTGTTTCTCCTCTTTAATGCTGTCTTCTCAGGGAGGGGAACTCACCTGACCATCACATGACCATCACCTACCGCCAGCTGCTGAGTCAGGTCTGCCGCTGTGCCAACGTGCTCAAGCAAATGGGTGAGAACCTAAAGTCAGACACAAGAACGTTAGTGTTTATACTCAACAGTCAGAGGTCAGAGGAAAACAAAAAAGCAAAGTCATTACTTCTTTATAATCAGTGGTGTTCAGAAAGGTTTTGCTTATGGATTAATAATGTCATCTGCAGATAAGATAAGATGAGATGAGATGAGATGAGATGAAATGAGATAAGATTAGATGAGATGAGATAAGAAAAGAAAAGAAAAGAAGAGAAGAGATGAGATGAGATGAGATGAGGTAAGAGAGGAGAAGAGAAGAAAAGAAAAGAAAAGAAAAGAAAAGAAAAGAAAAGAAAAGAAAAGAGAAGAAACGAGAAGATAGGAAAAGAAAAGGTCTGGTAGAAATGCAATGAGATATAAGAATATGATACATTAGAGGAAAAAAAACTAAACTAAAAAAAGACTAGAATCAAAAAAGTAATAAAGAACATGATGAACACGCAAGCCGAGAGTTTCGATGTTGAGCATAACTTTCTGTAACTAAAATCTAAGTGTAGAAGTACCATTTAAAATCTAGGATATGAACATGACCAGCGTTTTCATCGGCAATGATAGTATTGTCATTTACAACCAGGTGACAAATTAAAGGAAAAACCAACACACCGTTTCCTCATAAGATGTGAGGCCGCCACAAGCCACCAGATCAGCTTCAGTGCTCCTTGGCGTTGATTCTTCATGTCTCCGGAACTCTACTGGAGGGATGAACACCATTTTTCCAAAAGATGTATGGAGAGCGCTGCCTAATACGTTGATCCAACATCTCTGACATGTTCGGTTAGGGTGAGATCTGTCTGTGAAGGTCAAAGCACAAAAATTCACATAAACTCCATCAAACTATTCAGTGACCTATGGATGGGGACGTTGTCATCCTGGATGAGATCACTCCCACCAGGATAGAAATGTTTCATCGTGTTTCACTTCACTCTAGGGGTCAAAAGGGTTCCAGTTTTCCTTTAATTTGTCACCTCTCTGCAGCTCATGCATCCACAACCCGACGGATATAGCTCGATGGAGTATATCAGCGTATTGCAGCAGACATACAGTACATTGTCTGGCTCGTATCCAGCATCACTGTCATTGCTGGAACCAAGCTGAGACATGACCCAGACATATTGCAGTTAGGAATGTAATACTCCAGACTTTGAGAATCATGTGTTTGTTTCCTTTATTGAGGTGTGAAAAAGGGCGACAAGGTGTCCATCTATCTTCCCATGATCCCAGAGCTGGTCTACACCATGCTGGCCTGTGCCCGGATAGGTGCTGTTCACTCCATTGTGGTAAGTACTGCGATGAAGCCACGAATAAGGAGGAGTGGTTTCATTTTAAAAAATACCAGCTACATGCAGTCAGGGTCAGAGGCCACAGCCACCGCAGATAAAGTTTGGACACCCCAGACAACCAGTAGTGAAGCCTATGAGAGGGCGACACGTATTCATAGAACTGGAGTTACATCCTAACTCTAAACTAATTAAATTGGAATGTCAACAATCTACCCTAACCTTCAGTTGGTCTGTGTTAAAACCCGGCGAGACATTTCTGTTCTTTAAACGTTCTAAGAAAGTTCAAATAATGCCTTAAGCAACAAAGTCCTGACTTGAACCTAAATGAGAACTTGTGGACTGTTATGAAGAAACAAGTCTGTGTCAGAAAGTCAACAAATGTAGTTAAAGTGCAGCAATTCTGTCAAAAGAAGGTCAAAGTACAACCACGTATGGACGGCTAGTTGAGGTGAAAATGGCCAAAGCACATATACCCAAATGTTAGCGTTACTGAATGTATGTGTATGTATTTCCACAACACGTGTAACAAATATATAAAAGAATGCATGATTGTTTTTGTGACAATGATGCATGTGTTTCAATCAATTAGGAGTTACACGAGTCATTGGAAACTCAAGACTGTCATGATAAACATGGTCTTTAAAAGAGAATGTAAACTTTTATATACAACTGTATAAACTGATAAATCAGTTTCTGTGCCACCCCAGTATGGTCTCAGCGTAGCCACCCTTAAAAAACTGTCTGGCTCCTACACTTCATTCATTTTCAGCAGTTTAGCAGCAAATGTTATCTTTCCAACACTGTGAACTTTCTTCATAAAATAAAACACCCCCATTTCTGGCGGGATTTGGCCACATTGTTTTGTACTATTATCTAACCCATATCTGTTAAGTTCCCACCTCTGTGTGTAAACGCTGCCCTTGTTTCACCTCAGTTCAAATGAAGTCACTTTTTCAGACAATCAACTTCTGACCCCATTTCCCCAAGAAAACATGAGCTGAAACTGAGCTGTTGCTTCTGTCAGCGCAGACCGCCCAGCTCCAGGAGTTATCAGCTGTCTGCTGTGTGAACACGGCACCGACAGCACCTGCACTTCAATATATAGGTCAGATATTAAGCGCCAGTTTATAGCTTGGGAAGGCATCAGAGTCCGTGCAGTTTTGCAGGCTTGCCAGCACTATTTTCGACATTTAACCTTCCTCTGCCATGCAAAGGTTAGCAGCCCTGTTAAAAATATCTGCAGGCAGCAGCTCTGGTTCATTTCATGACTTGCAAAGGGCTGTTTTTGGCAGACTGGAGGGCAGGCGACCTTGTCTGTGCTTGGTCATTGTTGTATATTCTCCAACTCTGAGTTTTTATGATATTACACATGAACAACATGAAGATATCTGGGCGAGTGTCGGACTGTTGGATTCTCCTGTGACTGTTCATATTTATCATGAATTAGCTTGGCATTAAATTCAATCATAAATGGAGCCAGGCAGGACCGAGCCAGTGCCACTCATGCAGTGACATTTTGCTGAGTCCAGAGTCCTCAGTGACCCGATTCACGATGCTGTCATCAACACTGAAACTTTATGCTCTGTGAACTATTAACCTTGGCCAGGAAACTAGCGTCTGGCAGGGAGGACGCAGTAAATGGCAATCGCATAAAAGAGCAATTAATGGATGTCTGGTTCATTATGTAAGATTATACAAGGTTAGCCGTCTATAAATGGCGATGAGAGGGAACAGCATGAACCATCACCGTGTCTGCTGCATTTTTAAACATATAAGTCACATCAGAGAGACTGCAGAGTGAGCTCTAGAACAAGGATGCGCACTTTTACCTTCTGCCAGCCTTAAAAAGTTCTGACAAGACTTAATCTTATTGAAGCAATGTACAACAGTAGGGCTGAAATCGATTTTAAACAATTGAAGAACAATACATTTTACACTTGGCCCTGCGATGGACTGGCGACCTGTCCAGAGTGTCCAGTGAGGATTAAGCGGTGTATAGATAATGGATGGATGGATGGATGGATGGACATTTTACACTTTTGTTTTATCAAAGGTACAGCAGTCATTTCTGTTCTGTAAAAATGCACCAAAACACATGAGAACTTGCTAAAAGAGAAGGATTAATTATGCAATCAGACAGGTTTTAAAGCTGCTATAATTAGGGTCCGAGCACCCAAAAGGGTGCGAAGACCCTATTGGAACTGCTCGGATTATTATTATTATTATTAGGGTCCGAGCACCCAAAAGGGTGCGAAGACCCTATTGGAACTGCTCGGATTATTATTATTATTCGTGCCAAAGACAC